AGACTCCAGTGAAAGACCCCAAAATGAAAGACAGACAGATATTAGTTCAAGTGTAAATAGTGAAGACAATGAGACTGCCACATTATCTGGTGCTTTAAACTCTGAATCAGAGCAAGGTAAATTTGTACATAACTGTAATTTCATATAAGTAATTTACTGTATTATTTTATTTGGAATCACCATTTTATTTTGCTCAAAATGGACTAAAATTTTCGTCTAAAAGTATTTATTAAGAAAATAATAAAACAAAACCACTTTTCATTGATTTTTTTTCTTCAGAAAGCAATATAATTGCTTTCACTGTTGCTCCTTAAAGTCTTAAACATTTCTTAATTTTGTTTGAGTTTACGACTGCTACTAATTCCAAGTTATTTCTGTCCAGCTGCAAATAGTCTTCATGATGGACCATCAGCAGATGACACAAGTAATGAAGACAGCAGGACAGATGAGCTATCTAAATCAAAGCAAGGTAAACTAGGACTGCGAATTAGTAAAGCAATTAGGAGGCAATTGTCTGTAAAAGATGTTAGGGATATACTGAAATGTTATCCCTGCGTTTTCATTTATTTAGAGTTATATACAATTGAATTTTTACAGTCTGGAGGTGACAAGAGCATTGATAACTAAAGCAGTGGTGCACTAACTCAAATGATGCTTTAAAGATGCTTTATTTCATAAATAAAACGTGCATGACTGAAAAATGTCTGAAATTTGTCTATTAACTGATAAAGTAGAATAAAGGTAAACAGCAAGATTTTGGCACTAGAGTCTCTTGCACCATACCAGCTCTAATTCTGATACTGAGTGTGGCTCAGTAATGACCAGCAACTGGGTTTTAACATCATTTATCATAAACTTGTCATGTGTGTGTTTATTCTTTACTAGATAAAGGGGATGATCAAGTAGGAGTTCATGAAATAAATGTGCTTGAAGATGCTGAGACACCTGAAAAAGCAATTCCGTGGCCTATGGAAGGTGAACTCCAAAATGAAGACCAACAGCAGGATTCTAACAGAAGTGAAAGGTATATCATATTTTCAGCATGTGTTATGTGAGCTGGGGGTCGTATTCATTGTTTAAGGGAATGGTGGGAGTGGAATTACTGATGTTCATTCTCAGTATTGCAAAAAGTTAGCAATTCTGTGAAAGATATAAAAGGACAGGAATTCAAATTCTTTGTTAAAAATTAGAGTAAACTAGAGGTACGTTCCATACTATGTTCAGCTTTTATAGTTATGTGCTTTTTTGGTGAGGTGATGTACAAAAAGTATGAATGCATATGATAGGACTCTCAATACAATAACAGTCAAGTAAATGTTATATTTTGTTAATGCAAAAACAATTAATATAAGAGATAGTAATAACAATCATGTTATTTATAATAAAAATTACTATCCATATATCAAATGAAAGGTTGTGTTGCAGGACAAAAGAGCCTTATTGCCTTTTTTTATTTTCAGACAATGAATTAAGTTATTTACTATAGGTAATTCCTTGACGTACACATTTGACTCCTGTTTTGCCTCATCTCCTGGTATAGTTAACTGTGAAAAACATTTCTTTTTGGATTCCAAACCAAAACCAACACCTCACAGCATCTAATTATCTAACCAATTTTGGTATTTGATAAATTTCTAATACTTTTTATTTCCTTAACTTCATATTGTTCATATTTCCTAACATATTTAGCCGCCTTTCCTTCCCAGAAGTTATGTTCATTCCTCACAGTTAAAGAAGTTACACTAACCCTTTGAGAAATTAATGCATGATTATAAACCTGTTATTTTTATTACTGTGCTATTTTTATTCACAAAGGTACAAGAATGATTTACAGAACTAAAATACAGCAGCTGATGCAGTTTGAAACCCAAAATATATAGCTTATAGAGATGTATTATTCTTAGTCAAGATACCATCCCCTCAGAGTCATAAGAATGTGTTTAAAGACTTGGGGAGTTGATCAAAATAAACTCCCTTATCAGGCCCGTAGCTAGCAATTTCAAAAGGGGGGGTTGTTTTCTGAAAAAGTGGACCTTTTTCCATAAAAACATCATGTACCTACATCAAATTTTACCCAGAGAGGACCTTTTCCCAGCAAAAGGGGCTGTTCTTTCGAACCCCCCTCCCCCCCCTGGCTACGGGCCTGCTTATGAATTAGAATGCAATTTTAAATTTGTTTTGAAATATCAGTTGCATTTGCTGCATTATTTCGATTTTTTGTTGCCTCTAGTCTGCCACAACAAAACTCGCAAGAGGTCTTCATCGATGTGAATCCAAGTACAAGGTTTGGTCCTGATCCTAGTCCAGAATCTTGCCAGAATGATGGATTTGTCAGAAATGCTCGACGACATAACGAGCCTGACAGGTAAAAAAAAAACTTTTGCATGTGAAGGGATTCATTTGTGTTTATCTGTAAATAGAGGAATTAGATATTAAGAACATGAGAGACTGTAATTCCATTATATATATATATATATATATATATATATATATATATATATATATATTATTTGTGATATATTATTCAGTTTGAGGTCGCATTCCCAACAGTGGACCAACAGATCTGCAAATCAAATATGGTTGACCTACTAAAATGCTTGTGGCATAATACCATAATTGTCCTTAGGTTCATTATGCGGCAAGCTTTAAAGTGAGTTGCCATATTTGATTCATGGATCTGTTAGTCCTTTGTTGTGAAGAAGACAGTTACCAGACAAGTACTATCGTTACTACATGTACAATATTGGCCTGCTCTGCCTGCTCTGTACATAGATTATTTATCAGAATTTTTTAAACTCCCAAAGTAAAAACAGCCTGCAGATATGTATCCTCAGTGGGTGAAACGTACAGAAATGTTTAGAGCCATGTGGCACACAGCTGTGAATAAGCAGATTACTTGGCATGTCCTGGCTGCTGGAGTCGCTGTAATAATCAAGATTATAAATGTATCTCATTCAGTCCACCAGAGGAAAGAGCAGAATATGAAGAAAATGAACAAACCTTATACAAAGGTACTGAAGGAGATGTGATCAGGCAAGCAACAGGTGATGAATCAAGTGGCTCTTTCTTCACGATTGTAAAAACCGGGCAACAAGAAACTGTTGCTGTCTCTCCTTCAGGTGAGGATTCAAGTGGTTTGTTTTACTCTGTTGGGCAGCAAAGACAACCTTGGAGCCAATGTCTCAATGTACTTTAGAATAAAAACATTTCTTTGATCACCAAAACTACTTTTCATTGTTTAATTTAAATTAATTTAATTTAATTTTTTTACTCCAGTAACTCCTCAAACAAAAATCTGTAAACCTTGTTGAAGTGACTGACTGCTCTTATTAACCCCAAAATATTTTTGTTTAGCTGCAACCTACCTTGATAATCCACCAGCTGGAGACCCAAACACTGTGCCAATTGATGATGCCAGTAATGAAGGGTATGTTTAATTTTTTCTCAGGCTATGTTTTTGTGAGTTGTGGGTCTTGTAGAGTGTTAACTGAGAGTGGGATAAGTGATAAAAAAATGATTTAGTAAATACATAGTTCATTTGTGCAAGATATTAATTGCTAAAATTCAACAAACAGATAAAATACTCAATTTTTTTCAAAATAGTATCAGCTTTTAAACTTCCCTTGAACATAATTAACCTGCGAAGTGTGATTTATGAGTCTGAGATGAATAACTGGATAAAAATGCCAAATATTTCAATATTCAGAATTTGGGAGGAAGGAGGGGCAGAAACAAGTGCTGAAGTAAGTGCCATTACAGCAATTGATCAGCAAGGCTTGGTCCAGTCACAGATAAATGAAGATGTTAGAAATGATAATTATGATGAAACTTCCTGCAAAGTTCCTGTAGGAGATGGGGCCGTTCAAGAAACGGGCAATGAATCCATCACGAAACGTGGTCAACAAGAAACTGGTACTTTTGTAAAAGGTGGACAACAAGAAAGTGCCTGGAACCCTGTCCAGCTGTCAGTGGAGAGTTCACCAAGTGAAGCAATTGAATCAGAAGAACCGGTAGAGTGTTGTCAGTCTGAGACTGCCAGTTTTAGAGACTTACCTGTCAGTGGTTTGGGTGTGGAATGTGGTTTGGCTGCTTCACCTAGACATGTAGGTGTCCAAACACACAAAGAACAAAAGCCCCTACATGAACAAATCTACCCAAGTAGGCAGGATGATCAGGAAAATGAAGTGAACTCAGAAGAAAATGATGTGTTGCCTGTGGAAACTCCCTCCTCAACCTCCACTGGTGATGAAGCCCAACAGGTAGTACAAGAAATTATCCAGAATTTACTGATAAAAGCTACAACAGAGGCTATTGAAGAGTTCCCAGGCACAATGTCAGGGCTGGTGACACATCAACGACCAGCTATAACCACAGACAACAGATCCAAATTAGCCTATCGGAGGTCAGGCCAGGCATCAGGTGGTACAGTAAGAATGCACCAATCAGGCGCCCTGTCTCAACCCCAAGTGAAAGCCAATGAACTTGGTAGGTGTTGTGCAACATGATCATGTTAACTTTTTGATATAAACAACATTGTAAAGCTATTTCTGGACATACAATTTCTGTAAATGTGTGATTATGATTTTCATGATAATGATGACATGGTACCTTTTATGTGAGAGCATTGTCTAAATACTGAAGAGTATTAGATCATCATCAAATTTTAACAGACATGGCAAGTGCATTGTAACTGCAATACGTGCTACATGTAGGTCAGAGTAATGTGTACAGGGAGATGTGTTTACACGTGTCACATGACTTGTCCTATTTATTTGAAACCCTCCCTCCCCTCCCCTCCTGTTACAGTACATTTCATTCAGTGTCAGCGTACTGAAATACAATCCATGTACTTCAAGAAAGTTTTTCTAGATTTCAGTGGTTAGGGTCAGTCCCAGCAACATGCAGGGATAGATAGAAAGTTTTGTGTGTATATAATTATGTTTTCTTGATGGCTGTTAGTCTCCATCGAGGTATTAAAGTGTTGCTTTATTGATAAATTGTGTAATTATCCATGCAGGTGATTCCACAATTAATTTTTTACCGAAGTCAGGGGTCAAATTATGGAAACTATATCTTCTTAAGGGATGTCAGGTTCAAATTGAATATACTTTCTTGTTTAGAAAATTCAAACAAGAAAACACTGCTGTTTCCCTCAAAGACCACCAGAGAGGCAGATGGAAATAATGGAAGTACACTTTTTGCTACCTCTCTTCATATGTGACAGTTAGCTCGTATTTTTATTTGCTCTTGGTTTATCTGTCAGATCCACAAGAGCAAGTCGAAGATCTGTCTTCTGCTGGTGGTACAGGGGATTGGATGGGAATTCTGGCTGCTGGTGGTACAGGTGGTTCCACGGGAAATCTGGCTGCTGGTGGCACAGGCAGTTCCATGGGAAATCTGGCTGCTGGTGGCACAGGCAGTTCCATGGGAAATCTGGCTGCTGGTGGTACAGGCAGTTCCACAGAAAATATGGCTGCTGGTGGTACAGGCAGTTTCTTTGGAAATCCAGCTGCTGCCAGTTACAGGGCTGCTAAGGTAACCAAGTATAGTCTCAGGGCTCCGAAAATTTTAAAAAGATGAAATTTCAATGTGTCCTGTGTTATTTAGTTTTACCATTTAATATTTAGGATTTCACACACGATGAAAGACTCGTGCAGAACCTAACTGAGGTTGAGGTTTAGATTCCAAAGTTATTTGTGGCAAGAGTTTGGCTTTCATACCATTTTAATTTTTGTACAGGACCAGGTCTCGGACCAGGACATTGTTCAGAGATGTAGCATGGACGAGGCAGGGGGTGATGATGAATGTGCCGCTGGCGGTGCAGACCAAGTGCAAGATGACGACAGGGTGTCAACTGATGGCCGAGGAAAAAGAACCCACAACAAGGAGACATTGAGTGACAGTGAGGAAGAAGAATCTAGTAAGATAACAAAGAAATAAATCTCTGGAGGCTACAGTCACGCCCACCTGGTTCTGACCATCTCGGTAACATTTCTCTGTTTCAAAACAGCTTCTGCAATTTACTCAGAGTTTAGATCTGGTAAAATTTCTTCATGTCTGATAATGTTTAACAAGAATGGCAGCTAAACTTAAGATTGATAGTGAGGATTTCTGTTCCAGATTATGTCTGCTGTATTAGTATAGCTAAGTGAATATTGCTACATATCGAGGTGTATCACATGGAAATATGTGCAGCTGGGTAACAAGACTGTATTAGCATAGCTAAGTGAATATTGGCACATACTGAGGTGTATCACATTGAAGTTTGTGTAACTGGGTGTCATAGGGGGCATTCCCATAGATTTTAGATCGATCTATCCCCTTGGGGAGTCTCACTAGATTACTGTCAGATAATCCGGCTTAAATGTCCGTCCGGCCTACTATAAGCTGTAAGGGGGTAATTAACTTCTGTGCGCGGTCGGCTGACTGCAATTTAGCGTGAACCCCCAGGGAGTAAGGTCGATCTATTAAGATCAATCTAAATCTCTGGAAATGCCCTCATAGAAGCAGAACTCTGTCACATGTCAGTTCAATTCAATTAAGGTGACTAAGAATGGCAGGGGTATCATTGGATATCAATTGTAAATAGTAAATACGAATACAAGGTACACAATGTAGAATTTTTCTGCCAAAAAAATCCTCATGAACATTTTTTTTATTTAAATTCTACCATTCATTTTGCTCAATTCTTGCAATGACCTTTGGATTCTGCTCAATTTTAACTGTCAGTGTCAAGATGGTTGAAAGGGGAGGAGTCATATTTGATTAATTTTATTATGAGATTAATTAGTGCCATTTATCTGTTATAAAAGGTTATCAGTATTACTTGTCTTCAGATAACATCGACAAGAAATGATTTATGTACTTATAATGCAGGTTTAAAATTCTACACTTTGTCACTTTGGCTATTGGTAAATCATCTGTAGAATAGTTTGTAAAGGTACTGGTTTTGGGGGAGGTACATCTCATCTCTGCCATGTGTTCAAATCTGATTAACTTCCTTCCTCTCCTTTTTGAAATCCTCACCATAATTATCATCAGGTCATTGGCCTTTGACCTCTGAGTCTGAGACAAATGATGACAATAACAAGGCAGATCAGAAAGTATACAGCTTTAAATACAAAGGAAACATAAGGCTGGGGTAGCGCTGCTAAATCTGACTGAATTTGGCTAAAAATAGCATTGATTTGACTAATTTTAGTCAAATTTAAACCATTGGGCAAAAAAGCAATGAAAAAATAGTAATTTGGCTAAATGAAGAAAATTGCTGGGCCACCCCAACAAGACCTAGACAAAGTGTTTAGATGGGGATTAAACTGACATATTCAGTAGGGTTTTAATTATTACATCTCTCTGTGGTGCTCAGTGAGTGGAGTCAAGTCGAACATATAGCTATTTTTTTTACAAAAATGTTCTTAATAAAAATGCCAAGTTTTTTTTCTAATTATACACATTCATGTCATCTTTTAAATTAGTGATATAGTTTACAGCATTTTGTTTACATATAACAATTAAAACTTACAATTTTTTCAGAGAGAAAACTTGCTCATATTTTGTAATTTTTTATATTTATAATCATGTCTCAAAGTGGAGATGTACAAAAAGTTACAGATTTGTATTCCAATACAAGAAAAGAGATTTAAAAAATCTATGAACCATAAAATAACGAAGTACTTTAAAGTAAACTGTAGGAAAAAGAATAGAAACATTAATTTATTAGTACTGGAACATTCCATGAACTTTTTTTCACCACAGCTGCACCCATTTTTCTGAAATGAGTTGCTGTCCCAAGAATATGACACTTAAATGATGTCACTCTGGAAAACTGAACAATTCATTGATGTCCGCATGTATTTTGAACATACCAAACCAAAGACAAAATTCCATTTAACATAATATACACAGAAATATCATTCATTATTATTGTATTATAAAAGTTTATTGATATTCACAATGTTCTGAGGTCTAAAAATTTTTGATTTTCTTTTATTTATCCCAAAACAGCTAACAATCACATCAGGAGAACAAATCTATTTACATCATGATTTATACATTTATTAAAAAAAAAAAAGAATGTCACATAAATACACCATGTCTCATTCTGTTTCGAAGTTCTGTTGAATATGTCAATTTATTTTCCGTGCCTTCTGTTTCTTTCGCGTTAAAAGATCTACGGACCCAGCATCGCCTCCCGCACCAACGCCATTACCACCAGTGCTGCCCCCTTTTTGTACCGACATCTGTAGTGACTGAATGCCTTGTTGTGCTAAGGGTATTAACTGAAAGAAAATACTCGTCTTATTATGGGGCTACTTAGATAAAAAAGATAAGGTTATAAGAATAGCCAAACTCTTAAACAAGTGCAGAAACAAACAATGGATGCACTTAAAACTTACAATGAAGTCAAAAGTTTTAAAGTTCAATAAGAGAATAAAAATGACAAATGTTTCTATCTATATATAATATATGAAATTATTATTTTTTGTTTGTTATTATTTTATAGTCTTAAGGAACTTTTTTTACAACAATGGGTTTTAAGACTAGAGATTCCTGTGGAGGCTGGAATGCTTAAAAGTCAATTGAAGTGTGCAGAAAAAAAAAAACCTTAACTGCACTTATCCTCATTAAGTGTTACCAGACATTATTGGGCTGTGCCATATATTTTCTGTGCAAATACTAGTTACAAGATTAGTCACACACAGTTTGCTACATACAAAAGAGAAAATTTTTAGTCCCAGAACTATTAACTATTCATTATCATAGTTTCCACATTATCTCAGGACTGGTGCTTTGAACAATATGATAATTGCAATTATAGTATTTCTTTTACAAGAGGCGATGATTTTAATTGGCTTCAATACATTCCTCTTAAATAAAGTGCAATTAATTTATTTTCCTATTGTTTGAAGTGCCAGTGGTAGGATAATGTCCTATGCTTCTACTGTTAAGTTGACAACACTGTTAAACTTGCAACATCTTTGTTAAGTTTACAACATTGTTAAACTTGCAGCATTTCATTAAATTGTGTAAAATCACATTTAAATTACCTGTTGTCATATTATGAGACTGCTCAGATGAAAAGGATTAGGTTATGAGAATAGCTTAAGGCTTTGATGTGTGGAAACAAACAATGGATACTCTTAATATTTACAAACTTTTAATTTAAAAGTTTGAAAGTTCATTATAAAAGAGAATGAAAATGACAAATGTATTTATGCATATATACATGTATCTATGCATAAATGTAATTATTGTTTATTATAATTTTATCGTTGTTAAGAACTTGTTTACAACAATGGGTTTTAAAACTAGATATTGGCATATATACATGTATCTATGCATAAATTTAATTTTTGTTAATTATAATTTTATGAGTTTTTGAGTTTTAAAACTAGATATTGGTGAAACTGCCTGAACTGCATTGATGCTTATAAAGTGATACCAGCCATTGTTTACCTAAGCCATGTATTTTCTCTGCACACACCTTGTGCAACGTGTGTGTCAATATTGAGGTGCAGGTAGTACATTATCCCATGACAGGTGCTTTGAACAATTGGATAATGCTACAGTATTCAATTTTACAAGAGGTGCATGCTTGCTGGAATTTTAGTTAGCTTTAATACATTCCTTGTACTTCTTTATCCTCTAATAGAAGTGCAATCCTTATTATGTTGTGCTTAGCACCTGTAGTAGGATGATGCTACTACAGTGCAGTAGTCCTTATGGAGTTTTGAGCTGTCGAACTTCATGTAAGACAGTGTATATGCAATAATGTTAAGCTTAAAGCTATTAAACTTATATTTCTTTTAAAAAAACTGGTACCTTCGTTGTTTGTCCTTGCTTGTTACTTCTCTACAATTTTTAATTCAAGTCAGTCTTGTGTTAATCACATTAAATTTACCTGTTGTCTAAAGTAGGCCAAAGTTGCCACCAGAATTATTAAAGGCAGAATTAGAAAAGAGCCCTGGTTAAGTTCCTGCTCTAGACTCTTTCTCTGAAAAGAAAAAATTATGACTTCTGTTAAACATTTTTGTTTTGACAAATTTTAAATTATATACTACCTAAACACCCTGTACTTTAATTATAAATTCATAAAAAAATTACTTCAAATAATTTGATAGGTAAATTTTTATAGATCAGTGACAAAGTGATACAGCAAAAAGGTGAAATGATCATTGAACCTGGCGTCTCCTATATGATAAGCTGTTTCGGTCTACCCCAGAATTTAAGTCCAATGGGAAATGCCCGTCCTTCTGTGGATGAAACTCCAGTCTCAAATTCCTGACAAGTTTGTTCCTTTATCATTTAAGTCAAATGTGAAGTGTCTATAAACATTTAAGAACTAAAGTCCACTGTGAAGTGTCTTACGTACCTTGGGATTAAATTCAAATGTGAAATGCCTGTAGCTACTGTCTGCATAGAACTTGACCTCTGGGAGGGTGTAATCGTACATGGATCTAGCTAATGTGGACTCTAGTCGTATCACATATGCAGTCTAAATCAAAAAGATAAAATAAATCATGAGAAAACAAATTAATGCATTAACAGAATTGACATGGGAAACAGAATTATCATAGGGGACAACAGAAAGAGTTGTTATAAAGCAAAACATCTTGGCTTCCTTATTAGCAGTGAAATTAACAAATCATCTTATCCTGAAATGACCCCAGGCCTCATTCTGGTCCCAATTTGTACATGAGCTGTTAAAAAAAATATATAGATTTTACATATATAAAGCTCAATCATTAGTCTAAAACTGAAAGACCGAGGAAATGATGGTCCTGAGAATTCAACAAGTCCAATGGCTATAGACAAATAATTTATTAAATGTTTGTCCTGTAAAAAATCCTGGAGACTCAAAATCAAGTCCCATCCCCCTGACTTACCTCTTTATCTATAGTTACTGAAGGAAGATAGAAAAATACTGAAGTTCCTAAGCTGACTATTCCAATTGGAGAATCTGGATTGTCTTCTTTGAACAATTTCACCTGAAATGATGAAGAGCTTTATTTTAAATCATTTACAATAATTACGCAACGTTTCTCCACACACTACATACTCCTCTTCAGCAAAATCCTGGATCCGTCGATAAAGAAATAAACTTACATGCCAGCAATGTACTTGCGGCAGTGAAAATGTTTCCATGATAAATTCATGACAGCAAATACACTTGCTACTCAATGGCTGAACAAACACTTATCCAGTGTCAAAAATGCTACTCACAATTAAGAAAGGTCAACATCATTGACAAGAAGGATAAACGTCAACATATACTGATCTTTGACAAAGTCATCTTCTATCTACCAAATAGGTCTTCTGAACAAACAACACTGATCAGATTAATAGTGTAGCTTTCAATAACAGGAGCATGACAAATATGATGTTACCTTTAGACTAGATAAATGCTCTTTAGAAGTCTTAATATTGCCACTGATGTCCATCTGGTTCAAACGACGGAATGCGATTATGTTAACATTATTTAAATCACTGTCCTCCACCTGAAATACGTCGATAATAATTGTAATTCATGACATTTTATCAAACATGGTTCCAATCATGGCTTTAAAATCCATTCCAAAGAGCCAAGTTCTTTCTTTCTGTAGCCAGCTATGACTATTCACATTCACAAGAATAGATAGATGACTGATGATTTAGTAAGACTATTATTTTTAAGACTAAAGGCTATTTTGTCTGTCAGTGAGTTACTATACACCAATCCTGGACAGAAGTTGACCAAAGCCTAATACTTTAAACTAACTCTTGGTCTTAGGTTCATTTGTAAAACCAACCCCAGGTAATTGTAAACACTTCAAATCTTGGTGGATTTAATTTAATCTTGGTAGATTTTAATATAGTATTTAGGAAGCTTCACATGAAGAGCATGGGGAGAGATAATTTTTTAAGATTTGAAGTTTACCATGTTTTTATCCTTACAGAATTAAGTTTAACAAAATATATTAAATAAATAAAATAAATACCACAGTGTGTAAGGTATGACAGCCCAGCACAATACATCTGACCAATACAATTATTATTATTATTATTATTATTATAGTTTTACCTTTATTATTTTATCCCTAGGCTCTGCTCTGGAGATGTGCTGGTTAGCAGGGTCATCTCTTAGCTGGAGCTTGTAGCTACATTTAGGCTGAAATATTCACACTTAGATTTTTTTCTCAATTATCATTAGTAATCAATAATTAATTCATCATTGATTATCATTTAAACCGACATAAATCACAAACTAATTGATTTTTAGACAAAATCAATGATATTTTATAAAATATAAGTAAAAAATATTTTTATATGAAATAGCATGATACTATGTTTACCCCCCTTCCCCATTTTATTCCGTTTCACTTGTCTGTCAAGTGATGTTATTAGCATGTGCATACACAGAAAAAAAGGAAAGAAAAACATGCACAACTGTCATTTACTAACTACACATGTTGTCCTCCTTATTCTAATTTTATTGAGTCATTTTTTAAAAAGATTTTTATCATAATTGAAACACAAGGTCTTAATAATATGCCATGTTAATGATATGACAAAATTTAATCTAAATGAACTTGGGACTCCACAAATCAAAATCCTTGGTAAACCAAACATAAATGAAAATAAACCAAAAAATAATCACCTGTAGTCCTCGTATCCTATAGCTACCATCTGCCTCAGTCTTGGACTCTTCTTGATGGCTGGCACAGTCGTCCAGACCCACGGCCTCCACCAAAATGGACGGTTCTGGTTCTCCATTCAGCGACGTCACAGAGCCATAGCAACTAGAATTTACAATAAATAAATCACATGCAATATTCACCTTGGTTTTTTCATTTCCAGTTAGGGAACGTTTTATATACAACAAAACAGTAGCTTGACACAATCACGTCTATGCTCTTATCTGCAGTGGAGGCTTTAAAATTAAGAAACCAATGGACTCTGAGATTAAATTTTGTCATATCATTAATATGGCATATGTAAAGATATACATTCTGAAATTTTATACTCGGAGCAATTTTTAGGACATGGAATCTGATAGACAGACAGACAGACAGCCAGAAACATAAACAAGCGCTTACTCCTACAAGTTACAACCTACCTAAATGCAACTCTGAAGCCCTTAATGTTGATCTTGACATCACTTCCTTCTCTTACTTCTATCATTTGGGACGCCGGCTCAAATTTATATTCCTTCATAATTGGACGGAGAAAAAACTGACCTGGGTGCTGAAAAAAAAAATAAACATATGATCTAAGAATCCTCTTTTTTATTTTATTTCCTTCAGAGTAAACTGAGATCATTTCAACTAAGAAGTCAATAAACCTGGTAAATGCCTCATTCTCACAATCCACATCTCAGAATGGCCTCTAATCATGTTATACAATATAAGAACCTCAAGGTAAGTTGTTAATTCACAGTCCACTTAAGAAATTCAAGTCACCAATATAGATGCTATATTGTAACACCGGTAACAATTCCAGGGCAATCATTGGAAACAGAGGAACCAGAAGCTGTACTCCAACGGACCACATAAACTGACATGAATGCAAGTTGCTCTCTACCTGGATCTTTTTTTCTCTCAAATTCAACCACAGTACAAGCCTGATACACCACTCAACAGGAAAGTTTTTTGTGAAATCCACTATTCTGCCCACTCGTAATTATCACCACTACCTCACTGACTTTGGGGCATATCAATAATTAAGAAAACTCACCAGGTTACTAAAGACCATGGTGCCATTCTCCACAGTGAGATTGTTACTGCGGAAGTCACCTCCACTTAACGACAGGAGGACGCCATTGAGGGGTTGGTCCTTCTCTCCGACAACCTGGAGAGAAATATGTCAAGAACTTAATATGTCAATTTTTTTAGAAGCAGCTAAGTTAAAAAGTCATTCATATTTGAACTATTTAAGAAGAGAATCACCTATAAGTATTTTCAACTTGATAAAATAATTTCACAATTCTAATAATCATAACATGACAAAGATTTCACCTGAAAAAGCATATTATATTGTTCTGGCTGTGAAAAGAAACAAAGCAAGCAAAGATTCCCAAAGACCAGTTTCAGACTTGTGTCATACAGTGACCCAGGTCCCTGGGGAAGTGTTACCTTTACTGTGACCTTGCCTAGCTTAATGGCAAACCAGTGATATGGCAGCATCTCATGGACCTCTTCAAATATATAACCTTCCATGCTGGGTTCTACCACGTACTCTGTGTTACCATGAAAGGGACCATGTCTGCAACAATAAATGGCAGTAATGAAAAAAATTCAGAGCCTATAATATCAGCAAAACGAGTTTAGCTTTTTTGTTGTCAAAATTGGATTTCTGTAAGAAATTATCATGCTTACTGGCTTGTACAATAACCAGATAAAGTAACTACCATAACAGCTTATCCAGAACTCTGAAGCCAGACTAGTGACTCATATGAAAAGAGACAGGTTTTGTTTTAGACTTTATTGATTTCCAGTTATGAAAAAAAAAGAGAGTATCAGCATTAACTCACTCGAAAGACCCATCATTAAAAGTCAAGATGGAGACTTTAACATTCTCGTTGTTCTTGGGCGTAATAGTGATCATGACTCCTCCTAAACCATCCTGTCCTCCTGACTTCTCTCTCACCAACCCCTCGATAAATACGCCTTCCTTGCCATCAAACTTCACAGATATAGGGCAGGAATCTGTATAACAAATATAAAAAATATCCACTGATTGTCAATGATTTAATAACAATGCAGGTATGTAGGTGTCTAATTCAGACAATTTCTGTAAAAATTTGTAATTTTTTTAAGCAAAACATCAAATCCGTAGTGACCGAATAGTTAAATGCTCAATATCATTATACAGAAGTAAGTGACAGTTCTTTTTACTAGATAACCAAAAAATTCATTGCCATCAGATACAGTTAAACGATTCAGAACATGTCTGAATAATCATTTCAAACTGTTTTAATTCAAGCTTGTTTCCGCAAAGGAAGCACAATCTCTGTCTACCCACCTCCCTGTACCACGATGTCTGCTTTCTGTGGGTAAAACAGGATATGTTTGGATGACGGCTGGAACACCACTGTATCCCCTGTCCTGGAATATCCAGATTAGTAAATAGAACACAATACTTACAACAAGAAATGACCTTTTTCTCAATAATGTAGCACTACCCACATACACCCATAAAAAGGCAGTATCATATACAGAAAGGCAAAAGTGTACAGCATGATTGATGATACATGTACGTGCAAAAAAGTGTGTGCATTCATAAACACACAGGCACACACACACACACACACACACACACACAGTTACTTACTTGGCCCAGTGGTCCCAGTCATAAAACATAGGTCCCACCATAAACTGGTCGTCCATCTTAATATTATCCTTGCTTCCCCTCAATGGTCCCCGTGTCTCTTCCTTTGTACCATCTTTATTAACAGTTCTGAAACAATCACAAGCACAGTACAAGGTTAAGACTCATTCAAAAAATTTAGCCTGGATAATTTTATCCAAATAAAATATCTCATCTAATCAAATGATAAATATCATACCCAAAGAAGTAAAACATTTTGCATTTTACTAAGCCAAATATGAATATGGCTCCCATCTGATTAAAAATCACAATTTAAGGTGAATCCAACAGGGAGGATGTGGAACACTAAGCATCAGACCAAATTTAATCTCCAGACTATTAATGAAATATACAATGTAGACTTTGCTCATAAAGTCCAGTCAAATTTTTTGTTTCAAGGCATCTTCAACATAAAAATGCACTGAAAACTTGTCACCTAACCTTGAATATACCAATTGGGTTTCTCACTTCAATTCCAAATGGTTAATTTCAAGTGTAGAAAAAAAGTGGAAGAAAAAAAGCAGTAAAATGAAAATTAATAAATAAAAATGTTGCTTACTTGATAGACAGCATTATATCTCTTATGCGTATATCTGTTTTGATAGACCCATCAATTCTATGGCTTGTTGCAGTCAGTGTGAGTGGGATTGGCTTCCCCCTGGAAGAAACAAATACACAACCTATCAGCAACCTTTCAGTCCATGTTTACAACAATGTAAAACTAAAATTTTGAAAGATGGTCCTTGGGCTTATTTCTTTGGTCACTTTTAAGTGTATTAAAATACATTCTCAAGACAAAATACTATTACACAAATTATTCTTCTCAACTTAATAAATACAAAAGTGTAAACATATCATAACCAATGAATCATCCAGTTTTCAGTTACTGATCTACCAAACTTAACTTTAAGTAAGCTGAAAAATTCCATTACAAGAACACTTAACAGCGAGTGTGTGTGTGCTATTTGAAGTGTTAATTCAAATCGTATGAATTGTCTTATTTTGTTAAATAATAATGCTACATACGTATCAAAGCTGTATTCTTCCTTGTCAAAGCGGTGACACGACTCCGGCTTCAGTTTGTATAGACCTGGTTTTTCCAAACAAAACTTGTTCAGACCTTTCACCACATCATCAAATGTGCCACGATAATCCAGCTTTTTGTCTTGGTTAGTATAAGCCTGGAAAATCAAAACACATATAGGGGTTCAACTTGATAAATTTGTGGAAAAAAATTGCTAACTGGTATCAAGCATGGGTATGAGAATTTTGACAACAAAAGGTTGGTTGACTTTAAAGGAATTTTCCTTTACAAATAAAATAGAAACGACTGAGGAAAAGAATTGAATAAAAACAACAAATCAGGATCACATTCTATTTTTTTTTTTTTTTTTTTTTAAAGAAGTGTTTGAAAATTCAAAATGAAAAGTTAATTCAATCACTTCGATCTACCACCTGAACCAAATATAGTCACATCTTTATACAAAGCAACCACATACATAACTTTACCAACAGCATCCACATACAAATCTTTATACGTAGCAACCATACACGTACCAGTTTAAGGTCATGAGATGAGGTCACAGAAATCATATATCCAGTCTGTTGAAAGTCGACTCCTGTGACGTCTTTATCTGTCACTTCTACATCCAACACCTTAGACTTCCAGCACCAGATGTCATTCAGAAGATTGGCTGAAAAAAATTTTTTTTTCCATCAAGTCATATATTCAGGCTTACAAGTTAAACACAGTAATATTCAATTTGAGATCAGAAATGATAGGATTGTGGAACAATTGAGTGTTTGAATGTTTGTGTACCACTTAGTAGATTTTACTGCTGTGGATGTGCATAACAATTAACATGAATACAAAGATGCATTTGTTACAAAAAAATCATACATTTACAAAGAGAATGTGAAATTGGTGGTTGTTGCTGTCATGCCATATAAAATCTATCCCAGAAATCGAACAAATTGAGAGTTGAAGCAAATTCCCCATCATGCTTACCTTTGTATTTCCCAGGAAGGACATTCTCTAATGTAAACGTGCCTCCTTTACTTCCCTCTTTTATCTAAAAATAGGAGTTTGAATGAAGTATTAATATGATTCCAACCATACTATGGAAAGATATGGACCTGTTTAATATCGTTGCAATATCCATTCCCTTGCCGGGATAATATGAAGATGGAGAAGTAATGCAAAATTGTTGAAGATGTCAGAAAATTTGTTGACAGTATTCATTATAACAAAATAGTACTGTATGGACTGTAAACTGACAATGGTCTCTATTTTTATAACAAGACTTTTTTAAAATGTTTTAATTTACAACTAGTTTATATTATAAGCATCAAATTTATGAAGAGTTAAGATGTATGTAGGCAAAAATAACAGTCCTGCAGTCTGATATCGGGTATCTGATTGGTTACTAACCTTGGCTGCCATTCCATCATCTTCTCTGGCAATGGGAATAAGGGAGATGTGAATGTTCTTACATTTCTCTGAAAAACAAAAAACAATATGATAATCATGTTGAGGAATAAGCCATAAGTAAAAATGGGATACATGACATTTACTGCATTTTATCTTATCCTAAATCTCCAATTATGACTAATGAAAAATTCTTTAAAAAATGGTTATTCTATATGTATATAACAATCTTTATCATTCTAACAGCATGATAATTAAATCTACTAAGCACTAGATTATGGCCAATAATTAGACCTAAAACTTATTTTCAAAACTGTTTTTTTATCTACATCATTCTAGAAAATCATAACCGTCCCTTAAACTTCATCATTAAAATCACCTAAGCAAGTGACTGTGCCAGATATTTTGGCCCTGAACTGCGTAAAGGTGACGTCATCCACTGGCCTGTCCACTACTTTGACTATCCTCTCTGCTGGGGTCAGTTTTAGACCTGCCTCTTCCTCCTCCTTGCTCACCAGGGTCTAAATTACACAAAAATAAGTAGTCTTCATACTAACAGCAGAATGAGTAGTTTCTCTTGAGTACAAGTAATGCAAATGAGCATAGTTTCCATCTTTTACAAAAATTTAAAACATTAAAGATATTTCTGAAAAATCAAAAACACTTTCACAAACTGATAAATTTTGTTTCATATATTATATGAAAAAGATGTGAATACAAATAAATACACATGAATGATGTGGACATGTTTCCTACTTCAGCAAATATTCTATCACCAAATACATAAACAGCAATAAATCAGCCATACAATTTCCTGAATTTCAGCCAATTTTGCTCACCCCTTGGCAAACTAAACACTACACTAAGTCTTACACCTAATGTCAGTCTAAATACCAAAGATCCCTAACACTTTTGGTCACTTACCTTGACCACGTGTGCACCTGGCTGAACCTTGGTACAAAACTGGCCCTCCTTGTCCGTGGACAGTCCAATCACCGTGCTGTCCCCCTTGATACTGACCTTCCTGTGGTCTGGCCGGGTCAGCCCTGGAGGGTAGTTGTCTATTACTACCCTCCCACACAGACTGAACCTGAATCACAATAGTAGCAGAATGGAATAAGATAATTTTTTAATTTTAATTTCTAATTGTTGAATTAAGGGAAAGAAATTAAGTTGATATCAAAGGATTTAATAGATGAACTGAAAGAATGGGGATATCCTGTTGCAAAGCCTGAGGCTGTATTACTGTAACAATGGCCTTATTACAGGGGTCTGTGGTCCACTGAAGGTTGAAAATTGCCAAGAAAAACACACATTT